GGGTTGGGACTGACGAGCCCCTCCTCTTACCTGTCTCCAGCCCGGGAATACGGGACGTGTTAAACATCCGCTCCCACTGCGCCGAGCACAGCGGCACTCGCTTCTCCAGCAAGTATAACTGTGCGTGTGGTGTGTGAGCGCACATAGCAAACACAGAAACGTCCGGGAGCGAGGAACAAAACACAAGATTGTTTATGAGGGGTACGCTTTCACAGTCATGCACACAGAGTTTGGGGGGTTAGAGAGAGAGACAGGCATGGTATGACATGACAAACAGCCTTTTCAACATATGTCTACTCATTTAATCATTAGTGTGTACATATATATACACACACACACACACACACACACACATATACATAGTCATATAATATATAATAAACATCTTGTGATAGTTAAAGCTCAGTTTTCAGAAGTAGTTAATGTTTCATCTAATTTTCTGAGTAGTGCTTACCGCCACTGACCCATACATTACCTAGACCTATGAAACATTAATAATTACACTTAAGGGAATAATTCACCCAAAAGTGCATTTCATTACCTTTTACTTACCTTTGTGTCATTTCAAACCTCTATGACATTATCTTGTGTAACACAGAAGAAGATATTTTGCATGATGCTGCTTATATAGAAATAAGGTTATTTAATGTAATTTGAAAGCATTTTTGGCCTGTTCCTCACAAAAAGCTACCGTATTATTTCAGAAGACTTTGTATACATACAAGTCATGAGTTATACTGGCTACTATTATGTTATTTGTTGTGGTTGTTTTAGAACCTTGACAATTTGTTGTATGGAAAAGAGCTGCTTGACATCCTGCAAAATATCTTCCATGAAAAAGAGCAAAACATGCAGATGACATCATAACAAAACATTTTACGTTTAGGGCAACTTATTCCTTTGAGTCTAACATATATTATGTAGGCTTAATTTCAAGATGACACTTTAAAGTGTTTGATTTCCTTCATCAGTGGTAAAACGAATACATTATCCTTGCATAGAACGAAGGTATAAAAATCATGAATTGCATTTAATTAAGGAAATATTGATGAATATGTTTGTTGTGGAATCTACACTCACTGGTTTGATCTGCGCTCTGTCCAGTTTTCTTCTGTACATCATGATGGCGTGGATGGAATTACCAGCACGGGCAGCTTGACGTGTAGTGGGGATCACATAGAGGAAGTCCTGATAAAGACAGAGAAAGTGATTGTCACTCTTCTGAGATACTGCCATTGAACAGTGCTATGAACTTATTATACAAACAAGCTCCTTCGAGCAACCTGGAGTTAAATGAGTTAAAACAACTTTCCAAAAATTGGTGCCGTGACCCGGATGGCAGATTTATAAAAAAAAAATAGTTTGTGCTACAAGCAAAACTTATTGTAAATTCGTTCATTTCTATGCCACACAAATTGGTGCTGGATGGCAAATTTATAAAATTGTTCGCTCTACAAGCAAAACTTCATGTAAATTGGTTGACTTCTACACCACACAAATTGGTGTTGTGACCCAGATGGTAAATTTATAAAAATTGTTTGTGCTACAAACAAAATATAATGTAAATTTGTTTATTTCTACCCCACAAAAACTGGTGCCATGACCTGGATGGTAGATTTAGCTATAAACATAGTTTGTGCTACAAGCAAAATGTAATGTAAATTTGTTAATTTCTACACCACAAAAATAGTTTGTGCTACAAGCAAAACTTAATGTGAATTGCTTCATTTCTACACTACAGAATTTAGTGTCGTGACCCAGGTGGTAAATTTATAACAGTCTGCTACAAGCAAAACTTAATGCAAATTTGTTCATTTCTACCTCCAAAAAATTGGTGCCATGACCCAGATGGCAGATTTATGAAAATAGTTTTTGATACAAGCAAAATCTAATGTAAATTAGTTCATTTCTACACCACAAAATTGGTACTGTGAACCAGGTAGAAGATTTATAAAAAATTGTTTGCTCTACAAGCAAAACATCATGTAAACTTATTAATTTCTATGCCACACAAACTGGTGCAGTGACTCGGAAAAATGTTTGTGCTACAAGCAAAACTTAATATAAATTTGTTAATTTCCACACCACACAAATTGGTGTCATGACCCAGATGGTAAATTTACAACAATAGTTTGTGCTACAAGCAAAACCTAATGTAAATTTGTTCATTTCTACACCACAAAAACTGGTGTCGTGACCCGGATGGCAGATTTATAAAAGTAGTTTGCACTACAAGTAAGAATTCATGTAAATTTGTTCATTTCTACACCACAAAAATTGGTGCCATGACCTGGATGGTAGATTTACATAAACAATTGTTTGTGCTACAAGCAAAAAATGTAATGTTGTTAATTTCTACATGACAAAAATTGGTGCCGAGACCCGGATGGTAGATTAAAAAAAATAGTTTGTGCTACAAGCAAAACTTGTAGGGGTGGTTGATTGTGATTTCACTTTTTTAACTTTAGTTAGTGTATAATGTTGCTGTTTGAGCATAAACAATATCTGCAAAGTTACAACGCTGAAAGTTCAATTGCAAACGGAGATATTGTCTTTTAAAATTATGGCAGTTTAATGCCTACAGTTACGGATCGTAGGGTCTACAACAAGCTACTTCCCTGTTGGTGACATCACAAACCCTGAAATTTACATAAACCCCACCCCCGGGAACATGCAACAAAGGGGGCGAGGCCATGTTGCGCTGCTTTAGAGAAGAGGAAGAGTTGTTGCCATGCCGTCAAAACTAGGGGTGCTCGAAAAAATCTATTCATATATGAATCGTGATTCTGTCTTCTAACGATTCTAATGGATTCAAAAGTTTCAAAATCAATGTTCTAAAGCAGCATTTTTTTATCATTTTCCTTGCGTTCCCCTGCTCTGCACACGCTCTGCTCTGCATCTCTCTCTCTCTTTCTCTCTCTCATTCAGATCATCAGCTCGTCACAGCTCTATCAATGAACTGAGTTCCAGTTATACACTTTATGTCTATAGACAGACAGATATTTTTCACATGGCAATGAGAAGCATTAAACACGGATGTGCACACGATTGCCATGGTAGTGAGCAATACTTGCTGGCAAACACTTCTTACTGTTACAAAAATGCTACAACGCAATCATGTATTCTGCTGTATTACAGCTTTAATCAGGATAAAACCATATATTAAAAGCTATCATAAGCAGTAGCATTTACAAATAACAGCGCATCTAAAAGTATGAGACAACAACAAACAAAAAAACATACCATTCTGAAACGTCCTGTAAGAGCCGTGCTTGCACAGGTTCTGCACGATCCTCTTCACTAATATTCTCTGGGTCTCAATCGGGCTCAAACTGATAAGCAATATTGACGACGCCATTGTTTACAATACAACCGGAGCACATGCCACTGAGGTTAGAGGTGTGACGTTTCTGGACTGCACTAGGCGGTTTAGCGAATCATGACACACTAGGCCAGCTAACCAATCTGAGCCCACTCCATATTTCTGAGGGAGGGGCTTCATAAAACCAGGAAATCATCAGAACGTTCATAGGAGAAGGGACAGAGCAGTGCAGAATAAAGGTAAATTATGTGAAAAATAATGTTTTTTTTTAAATGAAGCATTAACACATGTTAGACTGCACCCCATAAACACAATCAAGCCTAGAAAAAAGCAGTCAACCACCCCTTTAATGTAAATTTGTTCAATTCTACATCGCAAAATTGGTGCCATGACACATGTGAAAGATTTATTAAAAAATTGTTTTCGGAAAACGTAATGTAAATTTGTTAATTTCATATTTTGATGAAATACTTTCATCAATTTCATAATACATTTCACCGTCTTGATTTTTTTTTTTTGACAATTTGACTTTCTTTTTAACAAAATCCAGATTAGCCATTGCATATCAGTCTTGCCATTGCATAGTAGTTGCTGTTGACCATGATTGGTCCTCGACCTCTGAGGTAAATATACTCCTCCCACCAGTCGCTGACCTGAGAGAATTACAGTAGAACAAAGTCAAATATTCATAATACAAGGTATGTGTAACAATCGGTCCACTGAAGGCAAGTTGTAAGAACCCATGTGCAGCTTTTATTTAACAAAGTGATATCCAAAATCCAAACAAAGAAAGACTTGACTTGAAACAAACTCGACTCAGCATGAACAGACTTAACTTGAACAGACTTGACCTGAACAGACTTGACTTGGCATGAACAGAAACACAAACTCACCAACAGCAGGTTACACGGATCATACTCGACCAGAGACAATGGCAACATGAGGGCTATAACTACCAAACAATAAGGGTCACAAGACACAAACCAACCAATGGGAAACAAGGCACATGACTAAAGCAACCAATCACAACATGACACACAGACAAGAGTAGCACATGACATAATCACATGTGGGGCAAGGAACATAAAACAAGGCAAAATATCAAAATAAAAGACCAGAAAACCTAAACTAGAAACAAAACCCAAACCCCACATTACGTAACCCCCCCCGCCCCCCCTCTAAGGGCAGCTCCAGATGCCCTAACGTAACACCCAACCCGAACAAAACCCAAAAAGTCCAGGAGGGTGGTGGAGCGGAGGTGGAACTGGGGTAAGGATGGAGGGCCAGGCCCATGCAGGGGAACAGGACTTGGATCATGGCATTGCAGAGGACCAGGACTGTGGAGCAATGGTGGACCTGGACCATGGAGCAATGGCAAACCTGGGCAGTGGACCCATGGTGAACCTGGGCCATGAAGCAGAGGCAGGTCTAGACTGTGGAGCAGTGGTGGGCCTGGACCGTGGAGCAATGGCGGGTCTAGGCCGTGAAGCAGTGGCAGACTGTGGAACAATGGAGGACAAGGGCCGTGGAGTAGTGGCAGACTGTGGAACAGTGGAGAACCTGGGCCGTGGAGTAGTGGCAGACTGTGGAACAGTGGAGGACCTGGGCCATGGAACAGTGGCAGACTGTGGAACAGTGGAGGGCCAGGGCCATGGAGCAGTGACAGACCGTGAAAGAGTGGAGGGCCAGGGCCATGGAGCAGTGGCAGACCGTAGAGCAGTACACCAGGAGACCACCAGGTCTGATCCAGAGGAGCATGGAGCCATGGCGGAGCAGGCAGAGCAGGCAGCCTTGGCAGAGCAGAGACATGGACAGACCACTTGACCGTGATAGAACAGGCAGAGAGTTTGTGAGCAGCCTCCATAGCCACAACATGAAAGGCAGAATATCCTTGAATGGCCTCAATGGTCATAACAGGACAAGCAGAGAGTTCATGGATAGCCCCCTTGGCAGTGACAGGACAGGCAAAGATTTCATGGACAGCCTTCTTGGACGTGACAGGGCAGTCTGTGAGTTCATGAACGGCCTTGAATGGCCGTGACAGGATAGGCAGAGAGTTCAGAAATGGACGTCGCCGCCTCGGGAGGTTCTGCAGCGGAAGCCGCCACCTCTGGAGGTTCTGCAGAGGACCCCACCACCTCTGAGGCAGACTCATGGATAAGAGAGGCCTCTGGGGCAGACTCGTGGACAAGAGAGGCCTCAGAAGTGCAGTGTGCAGCCCAAACTCTCAGGATGGCTACCGCCATCATGGGCAGCGCAGTAGACAGTGGCATGCTCGCCGGCCTTGAGGCTGTGAGGCTTGAAAGTGTAAAGACCACTGGGATGCCAGCCGCTCAAACTGACATCAGAGGTAGATCCATCACACTGGCAATCAGTCTCATCAATCCTGGCCCAAGCTCCGCATCCGCAGGAGGTTCTGACATGACGGCCGTGGTGTGGTGAGGCTCAGGCGGCCATATTGGCCGGGGGCTCAGGTGTGGCGGCCATCTTGCAAAGAGACTCTTGAGTGGCGGCCATCTTGCAAAGACATGACGTGAACAGGCCCTGGCTTGGCAGGCGTGATGTGAGAAGACCTTGGTGTAACAAACGTGACGTGAGCAGGCCCTGGAGCAGCAGACATGACTTTAGCAGGCCCAGGAGTAGCTGGCTTTGGCTTGGCAGGCATGACCTGAGCTGGCCCTGGAGTAGCAGGCATGATGTTAGCAGGCCCTGGCTTGGCAGACATGTCGTTAGCAGGCCCTGGAATAGCAGACTTGACGTTAGCAGGCCCTGGATTAGCAGACATGATGTTAGCAGGCCCTGGAGTAGCAGACAGGACGTTAGCAGGCTTTGGCTTGGCAGACATGACGTGGACAGGCTCTGTAGACCCTGATGTAACATGAGCGGGCTCTGTAGACTCTGACGTGACATGAATAATTCCAGACATTACATGCAAATACTCTGGTGTGGCAGATACTGGGGAATAGCAAGGTTCCTCATCCGCAATCCCCACAGTAAACGAGGAACCACTTAAACAGGGTCCAAAGTAGGGGTGGGCGCTATACCGGTATGAACGTGACTGGGGTATTATGTTGTTCTATGATATGGATTTTGCTATACCGTGGATACCGTTATATATTCATGAATTCAAATTTTGCATTTATATAGTTTTGTTCAATTTGGTACGCTTTGCAAATTTTAAAACATATGACGATAAAGAGTTGAGGCTGAAAGTTTTTGTCCTCTGTGTGGAACGCCGTACTACACAGGCATTAGTAATCAAACACACAGAGCATCGTAACAGACCAAATTAATAGAGCACAAATCGCCTACTCCAGTGGTTCCCAAACTGGGGGGCGCGGCAAGGCTGAGGGATAGTGTACAGTCAGCAGATTATGTTGCAAAAGAAACCTCTGCAGGGTGATAAAGACTACACTGCATAATTTTCCCGCTTATCATGTGGCCACTTGTCTGATAAGTAAATAATTGTATGCAAAGTATTAATTTGACATTTTAATTACCTCAACATGACTCGCAGTACCCACTTGAGCGCTCCGTTATCAGTTGTAGCAGTTGTGGTTGTATCAATAACAGGCCACTAGATGGCGAGATTGAAGAATCAGAGTTGTATTGCAGGGAGCTATGTAGAAATATAAATGAACGATGCATGGTTCTGCTCTAAGCATGAAAGTTACAAGTTTGTGACAGGACTTCCAGTGCCAGGTAAACGTAAAGCAGATTATGAATATACTTAAGATTCACAAATACCAAAACAACGTGTCTACACCAGACGTGAGCGGCGCGATTTGACAAATGCAAATAGAACCCAGTGATGTTCTCTGCTGTGGATGTGGCGCGACACAACAAATCCATGACAGTAAACTGATGCACCGTTCTATTTCTGACGAACTCCAGCACTCTGACACGAAGAACAATTTCAAATATTCATAAGGGAATCATGAAACAATAATTTCCTCAAAAATATTAAGCAGCACAAATTAATGATGCTGAAAATTCAGCTTTGATCACAGGAATACAGTAGCCTAATAGTAGCCTTAAAACATTCAAATAGATCATTTAAATTGACAATATTTCGCAATATTACATTGTTTACTGTATTTTTAATAAATAAATCTAGCCTTGGTGAGCATAAGAGACTTTCCAAAAAAAAAAAAAGAGGGGGGGGGGGAAATATTTTTCTCTACAAAAGGGGGGCCCGGCAGAAAAAGTTTGGGAACCACTGGCCTACTCAAACACCCAATATTTAAGTTAATTTAATTCATAAAGGCCTACCTCATGTTGCCTGCTTGCACTTTTTGAGAAAAACAATGGCACAATAAAAAAATACTTTTCAGGTCTATGTCCAATCCCTCACTTTTTCTTGTTATATAAGGTTAAAATATTTTGCCTGTAAAAATTTTTTTCTCATATCACAATATAATATCAATATCGCATGGACAGTGTAAAATATCGTGATATGAATTTTAGCTCGCATCGCCCACCCCTAGTCCAAAGTCAATATATTTAGCCAGTCCAGTGAGGAGTGTGACGTGGCATTAACTGAGATATATTATGAGGCCAAAAGGGAAAATGTCTTTAAGTGCCACATCATTAAAGTCTACTAAATGGCACAGTCCACAAAAGTCCTCCACATAATCTTCAATTGCCCGATGGCCTTGACGTAACTGCAGAAGTGCAACTGCTGGGTTAATTTTTTCGGTCTAGCTTTCTGTAACAATCAGTACACTGAAGGCAAGTTGTAAGAACCCATGTGCAGCTTTTATTTAACAAAGTGATATCCAAAATCCAAACAAAGAAAGACTTGACTTGACACAAACTCGACTCGGCATGAACAGACTTAACTTAAACAGACTTGACTTGAACAGACTTGACTTGACTTGGCATGAACAGACTTGACTTGAACAGACTTGACTTGGCATGAACAGAAACACAAACTCACCAACAGCAGGTTACACGAATCATACTCGACCAGAGACAATAGGTGCGTTCGACTTAACGCAGCGCTGCACAGATCGATCAAATTCTAACTTGAAGCAGTGCATGCCGGTTAGAAATTTTGTCCGACTTGAGACGGCGCCGACGCCACATGACTGTCATGTGTGGCATCAAAGTGCCGTGATAGCGATTCGAGAGCAGCCGGCTGACTCAGCCGCTGCAGTTTCTTCAGAGCGACTGCAGGAGCTCTGACGACGACCCCGCTGTTTCACAATTGGCCAGATTCACCGCATGACAACAATCACGTGTGTTTCGGGTTTAATTATAACCTTTTCAATTCCAATAATGGCCACAAATCTGTGTTTTTAGAACAGTAAAAGCTTTTTTACTGTTGTCGCACTGTTATATTGAGTTAAGTTTATCATAAAACACTGATAAAAGCATATATACCCCCACTTTATTAGTATTTAAATAGTATATGATTATGTTGAACTTTATTCTTGAACAGATGGCGCTGTATTAAGCAGTATATAAAAAGTGTTTATGTTGCTCATGAAAACATTTCAGAAATGTCTGTGTATTTGACAAATATTGCATTTAATTCACTTCATCTGTGACAGAGTATGCAAACATCGCGCTAGAGTCACTACCGCAAGCAGAAAGTGTCTGACTTGACAGCTCCGTTTTCAACTCCACCCTCGACTGCAAGCGGCTACTCTCGTTGCACCGCATGACAACAATCACGTGTGTTTCGGGTTTAATTATAACCTTTTCAATTCCAATAATGGCCACAAATCTGTGTTTTTAGAACAGTAAAAGGTTTTTTAATGTAGTCGCAATGTTATATTGAGTCACGTTTATCATAAAACACTGATAAAAACATATTTACCCCCACTTTATTAGTATTTAAATAGTATATGATTATGTTGAACTTTATTCTTGAACAGATGGCGCTGTATTAAGCAGTATATAAAAAGTGTTTATGTTGCTCATGAAAACATTTCAGAAATGTCTGTGTATTTGACAAATATTGCATTTAATTCACTTCACTAACGGGAGCAGAAAGTGTCCGGCTTGACGGCTCCGTTTTCAACTCCACCCTCGACTGCAAGCGGCTACTCTCGTTGACTGCCGTCTGTAGACGTGGTTCAAGTCGAACACACCTAATGGCAACATGAGGGTTATAAATACCAAACAATAAGAGTCACAAGACACAAACCAACCAATGGGAAACAAGGCACATGACTAAAGCAATCAATCACAACATGACACACAGACAAGAGTAGCACATGACATGATCACATGAGGGGCAAGGAACACACGACAGGAACATAAAACAAGGCAAAATATCAAAATAAAAGACCAGAAAACCTGAACAATAAACAAAACCCAAATCCCACGTTACAGCATGACACAAACCTCAAATAAATTTCACCGTGGACGAAGCGGAGTCCAGCCCGGGGTCGTCACATGTGGTTGCCGCAAGCCCGCCGGACTCTCCGTTCTCAAGCCCGCCCGCCTCCGCTCACTCTAGCCCTTTTACTTTAAACCGCATAAACACATTTCATTACACCAAATACACAAAATAATGTTCTTTTTAGCAACATCATATGACCCCTTTAAGGTTCATTATTTAGGAAGCTTCATGCTATTTTGAAAGAAAGGCAAACTTGAAAAAGGTTGAGGCATTTTTATAATGAGATATAACAAGACTGCACTTTAGAAAAAAAAAAAAAGTTCCCAAAATCCCTCAAGAAAATCTGTTGAGACTGATTCTGAAAAGTAGAAAAAGAGCAAACTTACATAATTGGAGGCCCACCAGGATTTGAGCTTCAAGTACCATTGCAGTCTGGGGCCCAAGTTCTTCTCAAAGTCCTTTGCCAACCCCTCCATACGTTTGTACTGTTCATCATCCATCAGAGGACGAGCTGACTCAAGATACTGAAAAAAACAAAACCAAAAAAAAAAACAAACAATAAAGATGTGAAGAAGTGAGGGCACTTAAAAAGAAGTGCACTACAAAAAAATCAGTCATTGACCTATTAATAAATTAGATCTTTTTAAAATGCAATAAAAATGCTTTGCTTACTCTTCTAACTGTGTCTTTTACAGGAGGCACTGGTAACCGTGGTAGTGAACTCTGGAAGCTGTACAGCATTGGCTTTGGCCCCGAAAATAACTTCACTAACACCTGTGTGAATAGCGTTAATACTGGGTCAAGAGTCAAACATGAGACAAGCATGATTCTTCCAATAATAAAACTAGACAAGTTCTAGTGAACAGCTATATATCAAAAGCTGACACGACGCAGAGAAAACTTCAAAGGAAATATGCAATTATCAGAACAGTGCTGAAATTATGTTATGAAACAACTTATTAGACTTTGGACTCTCTCTGAATATACTCTAGGGAAATATTTACAAAGCTGGGTGTGTTAAAGGTATAGTTCACCTAAAAACCAAAACTCTGGGTCATGTGGACTACAAAAATGGCCAATATTTGCATAATATAGCATATTATTTGGGTGAATTATTCTTTTAAGTGATCGATTCTCCATCAAGGCCACACTCACCAACCAAATTTTTGTTTTTAAGTTCAAAGATCCATGGCGATTGAACATCCAGCCGTGCCAGGACAGCAAGTACTTGAGGACATTTCTCATTACGAAAGTCACAGCAATCCACAATCCGGTCCCAATCAGCACACCACCAACAACACGCTGCCCTTCTTCTGTTACGTACTTACTGAAGGGAAATACAGCTGTTAAGTTAGAAATTAACTGCAGTGCCCTTTCCGAAACACTGTAATAATTAGTTATTATTGGTTTACTAATCATTTTTTTAATTATTAAAATGATAAAATATTTAATCAGCATAGATCACTACTTCAACACTAGTTAAGGAATGCTAAGTAATGATTTGTTATTATCAGCACTGTAGCTACACTGTAAGTAATGAGTACATGGATGAAAGGTATAATAAGATTTTCAGAGACATGGAATTTTTTGTTATGACTACTCATAAAATAAGCTGGTGAACTGCGTGATATACAGTAGTAATAAAACACATTTCTTGTATAACATTGTAATCTGTTTTGAAGATATTAGATTGAAAGAACTACACAGAGAAACATCTGATGCTTGAGCTTTTCATTAGCAACGGATTTCAAAAGTTCTATAAAGTCTCCTGCTACAGCTACAAAATAAAGTTATGAAAACAACACAACAAACACAAAACAAACAAATGCAAAACAAAACAATAAAAGTACTAGTTAAACTACAAAGCAAAGAATCAGACCTTTGTGTTTGTATATGTCTTTGGACAGCTATACTTTTTTAACAAAAAACAAAACAAAACAAAAAACAAAACAAAACAAAAACTACAAAGCAAGAATCAGACCTTTGTGTTTGCATATGTTTTTGGACTTTTAACAGCTATACTTTTTTTAACAAAACAAAACAAAAAGCAAAACAAAACTAGATAAAACTAAAACAAAGCAAAGAATCAGACCTTCATGTTTGCATATGACTTTGAATTTCTGACAGCTATACTTTTTTCCTATTAACAACTTCTGGCAAGATTGTCATGTTATTGACTTATTTACAGGGTATCTTCCAAATGTATCATAATAAATTGCTAATAACTAATGACAAAAAGGTGACTGTTGTTTAGTGGTTTACCTGATTGGTAGGTGTTTTGACAGTTTAGTGAACATCCCAAGAGATGGGTCTATTTTGGCATATTTGGTGGTGGACATGTAACCCACCAAAACAACCAGGAGCCCCGAGGGACTTCCTGGATAGACTCCAGTCATGACACCATTCTACGGAAACACAAAATAATCTAATATTAAACAAATATTAATATAATAAAACATAGTTCTATTCAAATGGGCTTTGCAATCATTTTCAAAGCACAAACTATCCTGAAAAAATCAATTAAACATTGATATTTCAAAGTGACACTCAGAGCTGATTAGATAGTGTTACTCGTGTACAGTAACTCTTTAATCAGTTGGATAAGGAGGTCAGTTGTGAGGTCACCTTGAACCTGATGAACCTCTTCTTCCAGGAGTGGATGCCAGACAGGTAGATCTGGCGCAGGGCCTCGTGACACAGGTGCAGGTCGATGCCATCAGGAGTGACGGTGAACTGGAAGGCCACAGCCTGATGCGCTTCTGCCATGCTGACTGTACACTCACACTGTGACAGAGAAGAGTAAGACAGCAGTTAGACAAGAGTCATAATCAACATAGGTAATATACATGACTCAAAGTTCAGAGGACTGTGCTGGAACTTTCTAAATGGTTACTATGATAATGTGATAAAAAGTAAAATAAAAATAAAACAACAACTACTGCGCCATGATACAGTGATGGTATCATGTAGTAATATTCGAGGCCACTAGTAAAAATGCTATTTAATACAACATTTTCATTAAAAATTGTATCAGCATATAAGTTTTTCACAATTTGAATGGAAAAAAAAAAAGAAATAAAGGAATAAGTCACCAACAAATTCGCAGAAAATCTACTCACCCTCAGGCCATCCAAGTTGTAGATGAGTTTGTTTCTTCATCAGAACAGATTTGGAGAAATGTATCATTACATCACTTGCTCACTAATGTGTCCTCTGCAGTGAATGGGTGCCGTCAGGTTGAGAGTCCAAACAGCTGATAAAAACATCACAATAATCCACAAGTAATCCACACCACTCCAGTCCATCAATTAACGCCTTGTGATGTGAAAAGCTGCTTACTTGTAAGAAACAATTCCATCTTTAGGGTGTTTTAACTTTAAAATGTCACTTCTGTCCAAATTCAATAACCCATAATAACGCCTTCACAAAGCAGCCATTTTAGCCCTTCTGTTGCGGTTTTTCTGGCCCGATATTCAGACTGTTTTTCGTTGAGCTTTCTTCATTTGCACTTCGGCGACTGCCATAGTGGAACACTGTTCTCCCTGCGAAGTAGGGGTGGGAATCTTTAGGCACTTCACAATCCGATCCGATTCAGATTCTGGGAGTCACGATCCGATTCCAAAACGATTCTTGATCTACATTTTTTCGTAATTATTTATTCTGCTTTGCAAATACATCTTTACAACTTTACATTTTAACCAAAATTGCAGTCTCTATGCTTTTTGTTTATAGTTGGAATCTCTGTAAGTCAGTACTGCCATCTTATAAATAGGGGTGTGAATCTTCACTGGTTTCATAATTCAATTCAAGTCAACAATTCGATTCAACTCAATATCACGATGCGTCACATTCTATGCTTTTTGTTTATAGTTGGAATCTCTGTAAGTCAGTACTGCCATCTTATAAATAGGGGTGTGAATCTTCACTGGTTTCATAATTCAATTCAAGTCAACAATTCGATTCAACTCAATATCACGATGTGTCACGTTCTCAATTTTCAATATTACTGCACATGGCTACATTTTCATATAAATTTTATATAAAATTTATTTTGTGCAAATTTTACTTAATTTTTTTTAATTAAATTATATAAGCAGGCTACTTTTAAAATAATTACTTATTTTAAAAATAAGTGTTCTTTAAGTAGGCTATCCGAAAGTTTACAGACAATCATAATTATGTTTTTTTTTCTTTTTTCCTCAGCATTTTTGCTGTTTGATTATTACTGATGAGATCACAGACAGTGGAAACTTTAACAGGCTGCATTCACACCGATTCACACTAATGCACATTTCTATTTCGATATATCAAATGTTTTGTCCTGTTCTGAAAACATAACTGACTGTGTTTACAACAGTTTCATATAAAAGTATTCGGAGATGCAAGTGCATTTAACCGCAGCCGCGATCAAGCTTCAGGACATCAAACACAAAGCACACGTCTGTCAGTACGTGAGTTTCATGCATCTTATACATACTGCATTCCAAACGGCATAAATGAAAGCATATCTAAAGTAAAATAAAATACTGACACTGTCAAGCAATGCGCACGTGTCTCACAGCGCATATTCTGTGCAATGAAGCCCGCCGCGATTGTCTCTAGCGCACACACGGGCCATATGCGGGGGGAAACCATGCTCAGAATCAATTCTGAAATGTTCAGAATCGATTCAGAATCGTTGAAGAGAGAATCGCGATGCATCGGAGAATACATTTTTTCTCCCACCCCTACGATGAAGTGCATGGAATTGTGTCACTGCCAGCCGCACTGTTCTCGCTTCATTGCGAGCGACAACACACACAGTAAGTGCGCATGCGCGCGAGGTGGTTTACGGCGCTTCTAAGTGTAAATTCTGTGAAAATCTCCGTTCAAACCGTTCATACATTTCTGCCCACTTCTAACACGCTCTCCACATTTGGTTCTGTCACATCCGCCATGCCTCCCTAATCAGCGCGTTTCGGTGTGCAGTAATTGTTCAGTCTCACTCTTTTTTGACGTGGGGGATGGGAGACGCACCAGGCTTTCTTCCCTTACCACCTATTTCTTTGTCACCTGCTGCTCACGTGATAGGAGACACGTGCAGTTCTCTCCCAGAGCCAGCAGACCTGTACCAGTCACAGACCAGGCCCTCACATCGGCTCCTGTGGGCTTCCTCATCCCGCATCATGACGCCAGAGGCTCTCATTCGTGGTGGATGATGTTATCCCCTCCAGACCATCTCGGCACCCCAACACAGGTATGTCCTCTAGACTGCAACACTGCTTCCTCTATCGCAATTCTTTCACGAATGGAAGCATCTGCCAGGGGTATCGCCTTGGGTTCGCCACACATTTCAGTTCGGTTAAACACTTCAGTTCTGTCGCAACTCCACCCCCAACCACCTCCCCCCCCCTCGCTTCAACGGGGTTCACCTGACTAATGAGCAGCGCCTCAGAGGCTTCTGTGCTACAGCAGGAGCTATCTTCCCTCCTCCCCAAGGGGGTGATAGAGGAGTTTCCTCCAGCCGAAGTAGAACGCGGCTTTCTGAGTCGCTGTTTTCTCGTTCCTAAGAAAGATGGCGACCTACGCCAGATCCTAGACCTTCGCATGGCCGAACTTCTCCCTTTATAAAAGGAAGTTCAAGATGTTGAGCGCGGAAGGTTATTATGTCACAGATTTTGTGCAGGAGACTGGTTTGTCACTGTTGACCTGAAGGATGCCTATTTTCATATTCAGGTCACTCGGCGGCACAGGAAGTTCCTCAGGTTCGCCTTTGTGGCAAAGGCTTACCAGTACAAGGTTCTTCTCTTTGGCCTGGCCTTGACATCAAAGACATTCAAAAAGTGCATGGATGCTGCTCTGGCCCCATTGAGGCTCCAGTGCATCCGTGTACTCAATTACCTGGACGATTGGCTCATTTTAGCCCACTCCATGGAATTAGTGAGTTACCACAGGGATGTTCTCATTTGCCACATTCTGTTTCTTGGCCTAAAAAAATAATGCCAAAAAAAAGAATGTTCTGACCCCCTGACTGTTTTCTTGGGGGTTCACTTGGATTCCGTTCAGATGCAGGTCCGTCTGGCTCCTGCCTGGATTTCCCGCCTCAACACATGCTTGGCCCGCTTCAAGCTAGGCCATCATGTTTCTGTGAGCACTTGTCACAGGCTCTTGGGCCTCATGGCAGCAGCCTCCCCGGTGCTGCCCTTGGGGCTGCTTCATATGAGGCCATTCCTTTGGTGGATGAAACATTTAAGGATCCGCTCGAAGGGACCAGCCTTTCGCTTATTAAAGGTGTCACGCAGTTGCTTCTGCGCCCTTTCAATATGGCGGGACCCCCTCTTTCTTCTGAGAGGGGTCAGTATGAGCGCTGTTACTATCGCCAAATGGTTACGACGGATGCCTCTCTGATGGGCTGGGGCACGGTCTACGAGGACACACCAGCGTGCAGAGTTTGGACGGGAGAGTTCCTCTCTTGGCACATAAACAGCCTGGAGCTGAGAGCCGTCTCTCTGGCACAGATACATTTTCTCCCCTCACTACAGGGGGTGTCATGTGATTGTCAGGATGGACAACATGGCTGTGGTATCTTACATAAACCGCCAAGGAAGGTTCACGGTCACGCACCCTAGACAGGCATGCGTGCCATCTTCTCCTTTGGGCTCAAGGCAGACTCCTTTCCCTGAGAGCGGTTCACGTCCTGGGGGCCTTGAACCTCGCAGCGGAATTTCTGTTGAACCGCCAAACAGTAGCTCAGATTTGGGACTTGCTAGGCACGGCGGAAATTGACCTCTTTGCATCACAGGAGATGTCTCAATGCCCACTTTGGTTCTCCCTGAGTTCCCTAGCATCTCTGGGCAAAGATGTGTTTGCTCACCCGTGGCCGGACCTGAAACTGTAAGCATTTCCGCCTGTCAAGTTGAATTCTGGCAGTGTTGTGCAGCGTGCTGGCCATCTCAGACGTGGTTCTCGGAGCTGTATTTTCTTCTAGATCGCCCTCCATGGGAGGTTCCGATCAGAAAATTTCTGCTATCTCAGCTTCAACGCAAGATCTGACACCCTCAACCCGAGATCTGGAAGCTGTGGGTATGGCCCATAAAAGGCCACCAGCTTTTACTTATAGTCTTCCTGCTGATGTTCAGGAGCCTGTCGCTAGTGCCAGAGCCCTTTCCACGAGAAGGCTGCATATCTCCAAGTGGAAGGTCTTTGAGTCATGGTGCTTAGCCCAAGCGGTTGCTACTACCCTGAGAGTTTATGTCGTGGCATCGCCTCTCGGAGAGAGTTGGATGAAGTTCATCTGGGGAGACATCGGTTTGTCTCCATTAGTGGTCGACCGATATATCGACCGATATTTGGCATTTTTTTAAATTCGTTCGAGGCGTGACTTTTATTTCGACGGCGCGATGGACTTTTATTTTGACGGCGCTGAGAACGGCAGCGCCTGGGCACACAGTGCTCACATTCTCCCTCTCGTTCGCTGTTGTCCTTAACAGTTCTGTCTAAATACGGATACAAGTCTGTCTAATAATCAGATAGAACGGGTAAACAAAGGAATTAAAATGTATACAAAAAGTCTTATAAGGACTGCTTTTATATTATTAGTAATAGAAAGGCGAACATTATAATACTATCTTGTTTGCCGTCAGCATTCAGCAAATACGCATTTATATCATTTAAACAAATCTTTGAATGTCTAATTAAGATCTAATGGTGCTTTTCCACTGCATGGTACTGCAGGGTACGGTTCACTTTTGGGGGGTTTTCCACTGGGTACAGTACCTGGTACCTGGTACTTTTTTTAGTACCAC